CGAAGACTGTGGAAATAATAATAATAAAGCATTATTTATATAGCACTTTACAGCTCCAGGGAGCACAAAGTGCTGCACAATAGAATATGTATATCAACTAAAAAAACAATACTAGAACAATAAAACCTAAGCAAGAATAAAACACAAATTTCCAAAATGGGAGCAATAAAAACTTCCATGTCAAGATACAAATAGCCTCAAGGCCGGTCCGTGGCATAGGCGGTATAGGCAAATGCTAAGGGCGCCGTACATCCAGGGGGCGCCAGAAATGGAGGTCTTTCTAAGTATTTTGAATGTGCAATTGCTTTATTTAAATAAAAGAATGTCCAAGACAAAGCTATTACGTTTCTTATGAGTATATACACTAGCAGTGGAATTTACTGCGATGCAACGGGGCGCCACCTGAAATCTTGCCTAGGGCTCCAAATTGGTTAGGGCCGGGCCTGGCGGGCATCAATAAATAATGATACTTGGCAAGAGAAAAGAAGATGTGAATATCCCACTTCACACCAGCAATGCGTTCCTCTAACTATTAAATTCAGTGACAAATTAATGTCAGCAATGGTAGCCTAAAAGTAAAAGCCATGCTTCGAAGATAAAATCATTATCAGTTTTCTGTAAAGCTTCCCAGTGCATGTTTAAGACTATTTGTTTGTTTGTTTGCTTATACGCAATTGTATAGGAGCCCAACAGGGACCTGGGCACTAAATATGGGTGTTCCACTGATTTATGTCTATTGTTACCCAGCCTGAACCCAAGGCTGGATCACCAACAAGGGGAAGCAAAGCTGTCCAGCAGCACCAGGAGCCCCAAATTTGATAAATCAGAACTCTGTCGAAACGTTACAACACAAACAAAATCAAGAGCTTTTATGTCAGATCCAACTAGAAGTACAAGCGGAAAGTTGGGAAGAAAATAATATCTGTTACCTCCGTAGGATTAGACTTGGACATACAAAAGTCATTAGTAGGTTACATCTCACTGGAGAACATCCAAGCAGAAACTGCCTACAGTTAAGTCGAGACTGTGGAGCAGTTTTGTGTATCCCAAAAGCTCCAGTGGTGCAGTTGGTCAGTGTGTGCTGCTTATAAGACAGTGCCTTGTTGAGGTTGTGAGATCAAACCTCACCTGGAGCAGTGAAGTTTTAATTGTGTGTCATGAGGAACTGGCACAGCAGTAGAAAGGGTTTATACAGTATGTGGCACTATTGTGGCTCAGGAGGTAGAGCAGTTGTACCCCCACTGGAAGGTTGGTGGCTTGGTTCACGTTCCGCACAGTCCATATGTTTAAGTGTCATTGGGCAAGACAGTGAATATGTGTATCTTTTATTATTTATTAAAAAAAACACTACTATAGTCAAAATAGTCATATTTTAAATTCCTGATCCACGCTTCTGTCCTGTTGGTGGCGGTAATGCACGTAAAAAAGAGGAAGAAGACGCAGAAGAAGAAGTAGACGCAGAAGAAGAAGGGGAAAGAAGAAGAAGAAGAAGAAGAAGACGACGACGACTAAGAGGGACTGGTGGTTTGGGTTGTGTTCGGCAGAAGGAGCCGTCAGCTGTGGGGGGTATCGACTCTCTTTACGGTCCTGCTTCAAAGTAAAGACCGAGAAAACCATCGGATCCTCTGCAATATTACGGGAGATGGATAACAGTAAACGGAGTGTGGTCGTTACAGGTTTGTTTCTCTTTTTGCTGCAAGTGTTATCTTTGTGGGCAGACCGCTCAGCGGGGTGAAGTGGAGGAAAAGTTATGGAGATAACAGCTGCTCTACCGGTAATGGCGTCCGGCTGCTACTGCTGCACTCCTCTGCAGTGTAGACAGCTAAAGGAAACGTTTTGTTTATAGTTTTACCAATAACTTCTGGTTGTATGGCTGCATTTCTTAGCATATGCTACTGACAGGCTAGGCAAGGTTAGCTTTTGTTTTGTTTGTTTTTTTTTTCTTGAACGGCAATAAGAAACAAAACTTCATCTAAACGTTAACGTTATTCATCAGAAGTTAATTATTTTTTGTGCTTTCTACATATTTAGCCCCTTTTCTTCGTGCATATATTATGACAATTATCGTTAATTGTATCTACCTTATAAATAATGAATAAATTAGATACACTAGACATGATCTTATAATGGTAATCGGAATACCATGTGTATCAGAGCTGCTCATAACTGTTAAACAAATTTTTATTCCATTAATTAGCTAAGTAAATGTTTATAAAAACAGAGCAACAGCAAATGTAGAAGAAAAAGCAAGGTTCTCCTCATTTGTACCAAAGTCAAATTCCTCCTGTGTCCGTCATACCTGGCTAATAAAGCTGATTCTGATTTATAAAACAGATTGTTGATATTACCTGTCAGGACCATTTAGCTTTTCTAAGAGAGGAAAGGTGTTTATGCTTCTCTTCCTTATTGCTTTGTATTTTGAGTTTCACCGTCTGACTTGTTTTCAACATCAGGCCTCTTCATACATGGTGTTTGAAGCTCTTCAGTTATATTTCCTATTCAATCACAATAATCAGATTGCAATAATCTGTAACTGTTTATTTCAGCTGTGTTCTACTAGTGTGTGCCTATTTCATTTAAGAAAAACATTTTCCATCACTATTCCAAAAACAAGAAATTTCTAAGTCGTAATTACAGTGATATGCATATGTCAGTGAATATTTATGTATTCCGCGTTGTTTTTCCAAAAACAAGACTCAGTGCAACTCTCCTTTCAGCCATTTCAATGTAGTATGTTGTAAATGAGCAAAATACAAGCTTCAACATTAAATCTGAACATAAGTAAGAGAGGTAGTGACTTTAGACACAAAGGGGTGCAGAGGCTCGCAGTCCCAGCTGATAGATGTGTAGATTGCCTGGGAACAGCACCTTCACAATAGCCAGCTGGCTGGCAGCTGCCGGCCCCTCACCCTGCTCCTTTTCAGCAGCCTGTCAGGCAGACTGCTCCCCCCTCTACCCAACCTCCAGAGACCCCGTTGACCTTAGGAAGGGTGGTGGAGGGGGATCAGTTGTATATCCCTATATAAACAAGTCTGCTTCTGCAGTCTTTTTTTGGAGGTCAATGGAGTGATGCAGGGAAAGATTTGTATTAGTGATAGTGATTGATTTTTATTTTGCTAATTCAAGTATAGCACAATGCTGGACCACTGCAGAATTTATTAACTTAAACAGCTAATTTTAAGCAGTAATGTCTGTGTTTTTTAACACTTTTGGTGAATCTTGAAGTAGTGAAAGCTTTAGTTGTATACAATACAGTTAAAGATATAAGGTGTATAGTTTATATTATAAATGCAACATGCATTTTTTGTGTTTTTTTTTGTGTGTGTGTGTATTTCTCAATTGTATTCTGTTTTGTTTTTTTGTGAAAGTAAAAGACTACCTTAAATCACTGGTCACCTTACCTGTATGTTTCTCCTGCTTTGTAAAACCCAAACTCCATAACTCCATTATTATATAGTATAAGTACAGCAACTGAAATAGGAAACTGATATGTTTTGCAGGTTTTGAACCATTTGGAGAGCACACGGTCAACGCCAGCTGGGTAGCAGTACAGGTATGTCTCACACTTTTATTGCTGTTATAATGCACTTGTTTATGTTACTGTTTGTCTTCTTTTGAATTAAATTTGATCTGGAATGAAATAATAAGAGTAAGATTTTAGATGAAACGGTTGGATTTGCTTCTATTCATGTTAGATATGGTCACACATATGTATCATTTATTATACTAAGATAAACAAATAGATCTAAAATTTTGTATACCTATTATGAAAACTGTTCTTGAAGGTTATTCTGCCTATCATGTTTACATGATGCTCTGATAGTTGCCGCTTTACACCATGCAGCTCTCCGAGTCCAGCTGGGAAAACTGCATGTGGGGGATGACGATGGTGGTTGTCAGGGTGTCTAGACAGGCTTGATAAGGATATTAAGGGCAAACAAAGGGTCGCTTTGTGGCGGGGTTACAGACGTGGGCAAACATGTCTTTTTAATACAAGTGGGGGTCACTGTCCAGGGCTGTTTGTGGGAGCCGGGGGGAGGGGTCAGTCTGCTGGCTGTGAATTTGACACAGATTTGTCTTACTTGTAATATGTATGATTACATCTTTTATTTTTTTTTTTGCTTTTTTCATACTAATCTTATTTACAAAGACGGGTGAGTATTGCAATTCAATCCTATGGTTTTTATAACAACATATTTCAGTTTTAAGTGAAAAAGTAACTAAAGAAACTTGTGACTAGACTCCTAAGATGTCAGAAATATTTAGCCATATGTCACCATTGTGATCATGTTATTGTAATTGATTTACTTTTTTGAGTGTGTACATACTTACTGGATTTGTATTGAAAACATTGATTGCATTTTAAAATAAGTTCTTATATAAGCTTTAAAAAGGCAAATGTAACATATTTAGCAGGAAACAAATAGCTGTCAGTGGGCAATAAGTGTGAGGGAATAGGCTTGGAGGACTCTGAGCTAAGCCTGTTGTTGCTCTTCTATGAAAAGTAAATTTGCACTTTGTCAGGGTTATTTACTGCATTTTTACAACATATTATCTAAACTCGGAGGTCCTGCTATGTCTCCATTGTTCTGAAAATATTTGGGGCAGAGGAGAAGTCATACTCCACTTAGAACCAAGCTGTGAGATTTCAGAGACAACAAGTAATGTGGAACATTTTGCTCAAATCAAAGAAATGACAAATGTCTTAAAATGTGGAAAGAATTTTTGCCTTCATGTTTTTGTTTGCCCTGTCAGGAACTGAAGAAGCTCGGACTGGGCAGTGAAGTGGACTTGCACGTATACGAGGTTCCCGTAGAGTACCAGAAAGTCCAGAGTTTGGTTCCTTCATTATGGAAGCAGTATCATCCACAGGTAAGAGGACAACACCTATTTGCAGTAGTGGTCCTACTTCCTCTGGATCATATTCACCCGCCCAATGATTTTAAAATATGCAATGTCTTATCGCTGTTCCTTGATAAATTTAAAGCTTCTCTATCTACCTAATTTCTTTTCAGCTGCTAGAGGCTCTAGTGAGATTCACAACAAATTAACACTATAAAGTCTTTGCCCTACCATCACATGCTGTAAGACTACAGTGTCTGGTTGCAATAGACTGTGCAAAATGCAGCCTCCAGTCTAGGGTTGGGTATCATTTGGGTTTTTTTGTGATACCAGTGCTAAAACAATACTTTTAAAACTGTGCCAGCGCCTTAACAATATCAGAAGCGTTACTTAAAAAAAGAAGAGGCGTAAAAACATTTCATTCATATATCAGAGGCCACAAAGGCCACTTGACTGGACACTAAAGCTGTTTTTAGATAGGATGCAGTGGGCGCTACGCTCCGCCATCAAACCCGTTCATTTCTATGTGTTGCACGGCGCAGGAACGTATCTGCACTGCACCGAGCTGAGCACAGCGCAAGATCAGGTGTGCTGTCCCTGTGCACTGCACTGAAGTTAAAAGCTTGGGTGCAGCGCTCTGTGACGACACCTCAATGTGCCCAACTGCAGAGAGCTTGACAGACCACAAAGAAAATGCAGGAGAAGCTGATTTAGGTGGACCTACACCCCCTTCTTATTTGCTTCAGCTCGTCTCCTCTTCCTTGTGTGTGTGTGTGTGTGTGTGTGTGTGTGTGTGTGTGTGTATATATATATATATACATACATACATACATACATACATACATACATACACACACATCGTGCATCCAAGTCTGCTGCTTGAAAAACTAGTTATCTGCTAACCAGCTCCTGGAAAGCCTTTTGGTCGCCTAGCAAATTGCACCCAACATGTGCATGATTTGTGTGTGTGCACCCTCCTCCCCTGTGCCGTGCCCTCCCCCTGCGGGGAGCATTAGATTTAGAGGCTAGCACATCCAGAAGGAAAAATGCCACATCTAAAAATCTGAGTCCTTTGGCTGCTCTCCATCTCAAAAAGCCAATCTGATGTTAGCCCTGGTTTTTGCTTTCTTTGTCCCACTCTCTCTGTGCAAATAAACCTGACCTCTACAATTAATTTGGTCTTCCTGTTCCCTTTGTTTGCCAGCTGGTAGTTCATGTTGGAGTCTCAGGTATGGCCACCACTGTCACACTGGAGAAGTGTGGCAGAAATCATGGATATAAGGGTCTGGACAACAGTAGCTTCTGCCCTGATTCACAGTGTTGCATCGTGGGAGGCCCAGACTGTATTGACTCTGTTATTGACATGGAACTAGTCTGCAAGAGAGTGACTGCCTCTGGGCTGGGAGTAGCTGTGTCTGTCTCTAAAGATGCCGGAAGGTAGCTATTCATTGTTTTGTTTTGTTTGTGTTTTTTTTCCCCACTTAGAATCAGCATTTCAACTCTGGACCACATGCTTCAGCTCATGACAAATACAGACATGAGAACACATTATCACACAAACATGGTATATGTAATATTTACTCTATGGATTGTGAGACATGTTTAGTTTGATGGTTTGCATTCAGCAAATGACAGTATGAGAGACAGCAGCTGAGGTGAAACTGTGGGCAACAAAGTTTGGAGTAAAGGTAGGATGCACCATAGCCAATAGGAACTAGTGAGTGTTTATTTTGAACAAAGAATAAAACTGATGAAGGATCACATCAAATAATGTGACGCTGCATTGCTTTCAATGTAATACAGGACACTGATGATTTACAAATCACTATTTTCGATTTTAATTTTGATTTTACATACTGTCCCTGCTTTTTCTCATTTGGGGTTGTAGAACAAATAAGTTCCCATAAGTTGGGAAGAAACAGGGAGCCTAATAATATAAATGTCAATACAAAATGGAAAATAACAAGTGATTTATTGGTGAATCTTTCCAAATGTCATAGTAAATGTATCAGTAAGTTCAGTATATGGCTTTTATTGCATCTTCTATTTCTGCATGTAATTCCCTGCTCTTTTCCCGGGCAGGTATCTTTGTGATTTCACCTACTACACGTCTCTGTACCTGAGCCACGGTCGCTCTGCCTTCATCCACGTGCCTCCTCTCGGAAAGCCTTACAGCGGGGAAGACCTGGGTCGTGCGGTGAAGGCCATTATCCAGGAGATGCTGGAGCTTCTGGATCAGGTTGAGGAGAAGATCCACTGCCAGCAACATTTCCACTAAGTGACCTCCAGATGCCAACCAGCCTCTTCAGCTGTCACCACACAAAAGAAATTGCACTTAATCACAAGTAGCCAAACATCTTTGTTTTAAACTGTTATCTCTACTTGGACAAAATGAAAACTTCAGCATATATATGATGTTTTGAATATTTTGCTTCTCTTTATCTTAGGTTTTTGCTTCTTGTTTTACTAGGCCTGATTTGGTAACGTTTTAATGTCTGCCAATGGTAAGATGATAAAGTGGAAGTTTCAGGACAGCCCTCGGTCACACTGTAACATAAGCTTTTCTCCCACTCCTGAGAAGCATGAACCATTGATTTTAGAGTGTAAAATACACAACATACCCTAGGTTCAACTGTGAAAATACAGCAGCAAAGTACTACGCATATTGGTTTATGTGCAGAAGGTCATGCAGAGCGTTTGTAATGTAGCAGTAATACAACCTATAACCCCAAATGTGACTCCTATTATTGCACCTTATAGGGTTAGGGTTATTGAGATAGTTATAGAAGTGACATTTGGGGAAAGTGCTAGATGCACTCTACATTATTTTACTTTTGTAATGCTTAATCCTCAAACTTTGAGATTCAGGATTTTGAGTTTTGCTCTGCCTTGTTTCATTCAACAGGTGTCAACACCTGTTTCTTGCTAAATGGTTAATATACATGATACATTATCGTTTAAGTAGCGAAGTTTAGCAGAGAACTGTTTGATAGCTTCAGTTTCCTTCAGACATTCTTTTCAGTTGCTCTAAAGCCGAACTGTACTGTTTCAGATTTGATGTTGAATTGTTTCTGGAGTCCTTTTTCTTTATAAGAAGTTGTAAATTTGCCTTCTTTTACAAAGGTTATTGAAATCAGGGAACGGGTTGGTTCCAACTCATATTTCCCCAGTTTGTCGGCCCAGTTCTGACAGGAAAACACCAAAATCCCCCCCTGATGAGATCTGACCCTAGGCTGTGCAGTGTTATTTTGCAGATCTCGCTCACTGATTTAGGACATATCCTTTTATTACTGTTTGAGAAAATATTAAGCATTACACTATTTACTGCAGAAATTCAGATTGCATGAAGGCATGTGTAACATGTACTAAGCAAAATATTATATATATATTTTTTTGTTTTGTTTTTTTAATTGTACATCCATTAATGTACTTTTTAAGGAACTGAACAAATACCAGACGTTAAAGCTGCATTAAGCCGTTTTTGCAAACAGTAAAGAACCAGAAGACTTGACAGATTAACACTGAATCTTCTTGTCACTGTGTCAGTGTTGAGTTCCACACTGGATTGTGGCACGAAGCTGAAGTCACTGCGCTGCATTTCTGAGTAGTAACATTCATTTTTAATTTAAACATTTCACTTCCGGTGATGTAGGATCTTTAGTGTGCAAAGATACCCGCTGGTTTTATGTTTGTTTTGTTTTAAGCTGTGTAGAAAACTTGCAGTTTTGGAAAAAAAAAGCAATTTGCAGTTTGTTTTTGATTTTAAATTTGAAGGCAAACGGCGAATTCCTTTCCTTTATAAAACCATTCTGTTCCCTTCATTGAATCAGAAGTAGCTGCTCATTTTATCTGAGAATTTGATTCAGTGAAGTAGAACTCTCAGTTCAGTCAGAATTGGGCCTGGAATTTTATTTCTGTAGCACTTTCTTTCTTCTGTATTTCATTTTTACTTAATCTGGAATTCAGACACCATTTTTCAAGCAATGTGAATGCTTGCATTTTTATTTTCAGCCACTTTAACTTGAAATATGTAGCTTTCCATACACATCCACACCAAGTTTTACTGTTTTCCCCTCAGTGATTAGAATTATGTATATGATATATATTATGGGTGAGTTATACTTTCTTTTTCCTAAGCTCTGTTTGTTCTGACCTGTTAAACTCTAGCAGATTCTTTCACTGCCTGTGATGGTGCCACTCTGGGTGTAATGTTCTGTTTTAGGGCTTTTTTTTTAAATTGAATTGTCTTCACTGTGTAGATCGGTGTTTCCCCGGCTGCTGAGTTGCTGTCACAGCCCACACCACCGAACTTCACTTTCATCAGTTTTACTAGAACATATTACATGGAATGGTCTGCATACTGCTTCAGACCCCCATGCGTCCCTGATAAAACTCTGTCAGTGGGAAATAGGGATGTAGTTTTAAACTGTCATAGCTAGTCTTAACAAACTAACTGAACAGTGTGTTTTGCAGCAGTAACCATAAGACCCATTGTTACGTTTTTAGTTAAAATATTTTTTTTTTCTCCTGACACAGGTAAGCTGGCGTCAGTGGGTTCAGTTGCTATTATGTATTATGCTTTTTACCGCAATGTAACATCATGAACATTTAACAACTTCTCAGACCTAAATTATATTTTAGCCTTTGTTATTTAATGTACATCTTGGATGGGGGGGTCTTGTATGGGATCATTGACTGACGGACAGGTTTTAGTTCTGAGTTTGTAGGTGCTGATGTTTTACTGTGGCTTTGTGAGTGCTGAGAAGTGAAAGGGTTGTAGAGGAGTGGCACCTAAAATGTGTGCTCACAAAAGTGAAAGCCTCAAGTTTACAAATGAGGTGACCTCTGACCCTGACTCTCTCCTGTGCCTTGCTGTTGTTTGTGTTATGAAAAGGCCTTACAAATTGTCAGAAGGTCTGATCAAAGATATATTACTGATGCTATCCAGTCAGATGTGCGGCTACCTCAAAAAAAAAAAACTTCTTTAATGTCAGTGTGTTGTACAGTAACATTAAGCACTGTTCAATAAGAAATTACAGCTTTGCAAAAGGCTTTGAAATAAAAAGAATTAAAAGATTATAAACACTGTCTTTGTGCCTAATATTACAGCTCTTTCCCCCCCCCCCAACATATGCCTATTGAAAGCATGTAATGGATTTGTCAATTGTCCATTCAGAAAAGTATGAAGCCAGACAAAGACAAATAAATAAACAGGCCTATCCAAAACCATAGACGTTGCTATGAAGTCAATGTTTGGCCTGACTTCTGCATGTGTCACAACTCTATTATAGAAAAAAATGTATTGCCTATGTATTAGTTTTTGTGCTGGACAATTTCCATTTTAATGAATCCTGTCTGAATCAGATTTGCTGCTGGACTCCTATTAATCATCCTACTATGGGAAATATTCTAACAGGAGAGAAACGCAATGTGAGAGGGAAACAGACGATGTGGTTGAAGAATCGCTGATCTGACACCAAAATACCCTTACACATAAAAACAGGCAATGAGGCATGACAAAATGTTTTGAGGCTGTGAAAGGTTTGCCAAACATGAATCTTTAAACGGTTGTCTAACTAGGGCTATTTTCCCACTTTCATGGCTGAAGCTTTTTGCGACTCTTTTTTGATACTCGGAAATAAGATCAGAGTGAGAGCTCTTCAAATTGACGAATTGTCTGTACAGCCTACAGTTTAACGTCACACGTAGAGCGGCGCAGTGAATTCTGTCACCATCGCTGTTGGACTTGCTGTTTCGGAGATTCTGTTCGGTTCCATTTTTATTTGGGTTCAATTTCAGATTAACGGCGTCGGGCTGTAAACAAGTGATTGATACACAACTATTGTGAGGATTTTGTTATCTTTATACGAACACCGGAAACGGTTCATTAGGGCGAAAGTTGAGAGTCGAGATGAGTGTGGAGGCGTACGGGCCGAGCTCCCAGACCCTCACCTTTCTGGACACCGAGGAAACGGAGTTGCTCGGTGCGGATACCCAGGGCTCCGAGTACGACTTCACTGACTTCACCCTCCCTAGCCAGACGCAAACTCAAGGCCAGATCGAAAGCCAGCTGGACAGCCAGGTCTGATGTTTTCAGTTTTACAGGAAGTCACGATGAAGCGCGGTTTACTGAGGCTAGCGGCAGTTAGCTAGCCGATCCAACCTTGCATGCTATCTCGCTAATGTTGAATCAAGCGTTACCTACGTTCATGTTAGCTAACATTTACCGTTAGTTAGCTCGCTGCTAGCTAGCAAGCCCATTAACTAAACCAAAGTAATGTTAGTTGCTTTGGCACGTTTGTTTTGAATTATTGGAAGAAAATCAGTCTTGTATAATATGCAGCAAAGATAAGAGTCTAGAGCACCGACAACCTGTCAACTTATAATGTTAATTAACTAACTGCTATATTTTCCGCGCAGCGTTTCCTCGACGCAGCCTGCTGATCGTTAACATTAAGTCAAGTCTGTGTTGTGCTACAGGTAAATGGTCCTGATGAGGGTCTTCTCAACAATGGAGTGGATGACTCCGTGGCCAAAGCCAGCCAGCTATTAGCCGAGCTCAACTTTGAGGAGGATGAAGAAGACACGTACTACACCAAAGACCTACCTGTGCACGCATGCAGGTACAGTGACAGGATGTCTGTTTACTGTAAATCACCAAGAGAATGATTACAGCTTTCGCGTTTTTGATGAAATAAAGTACTATATTTATAGTATTTATTTTAGGTGTTGGCCTTGTTACACACCAAGTGGCCATAAGGGTTCAAAATTCAGCAGTGTTCATTAGCATCACCTTTCTGATAAAACAATGTACTATTAAAGTTTACAAGTACTACTTATTTCTGACTTGCACACCTAGCTGATTTTTTTTTTGTAGTAGCATGTCGCTAAAGAGCAGAATCTCATGAAAGGCCATGTTCACTGTTGGGTATTTAAAGCACATATTATGTGTTGGATAGTGTGTTAACCCCAGACAAGTAATAGCATTTGTGCACTTTGTATGTAATTTAACCTGTTCTCAATTTGGTATGGTCTTACATTTTGTCAAAGTTTTGTGTTTGTGTGAATAACTACTGCAGTAATGAAAACATTGTTTTTATATGTTTGTTTTTTTTTAGCTACTGTGGTATCCATGATCCAGCGTGTGTGGTGTACTGCAATACCAGCAAAAAGTGGTTTTGCAATGGACGTGGCAACACTTCAGGCAGGTGTGTATTGAACTCCTTTTCATTTCATTCCTCACAGTTTCTGTATGATGTAGTGTATACAACCCTTTTCTTTGTATTTCCATTGCTAGGAAAGTTTATTTTCAATTAGCCGTTGACATTTGTAATATGCAGACTTATTTATAATGTTTAAGACAAAAATAATCTACAGTGTCCTGTTTTTCCAACTGTATTTCAGTATACTACACAAACTATCAATAGGTTATGTCATCGCAGTCAAAGTATATAGATTTTTAAAAAATCACTGGACTCCCTCTTACATGCAGCCACATTGTGAACCACTTGGTGAGAGCCAAATGCAAAGAAGTGACACTGCATAAAGATGGGCCGCTGAGTGAGACGGTGCTGGAATGCTACAACTGTGGCTGTCGGAATGTCTTCCTCCTGGGCTTCATTCCGGCCAAGGCCGATTCTGTGGTGGTGCTACTCTGCAGGCAAGTGCCTTGTATATGGTCCTACACCCATTGCCCATGTTCAGTCATTATAAGCTACTCTGGAGCATGCACTGAAAGCTACATATGCAAATTCCGAAACAGGAAGTTTATCGTTTATTTAATGTCTGTTCAGGTTTTACATGAGTTGCTTCCTGAGGCTCAGAAATCTGTGCATAATGCCACACACACACACACGCACACACACACGCACAAAAAAAATTTCCATACTCCCACCAAAATGGAACTTTGCTGTGTAGTCAGCAAGTTGATCTGCAGCTGTTGTTAGGGGAAGGCCCTGCTACTGCTGATGTCTGTAAACCTTTACTAGGGATCCACTGATGTCGATACCAGTTTTGGGCCTTGGGTTTGATACTACCCTCTAGTACTCGTACTCATAAAAGTTATCCCACTGATACCAATTAATGGCAGCATGACATTAGCCTCATGCTGGCTGAGCCAGTGGTTAGGTGGCAGAGAAGAAATTTCAGCAGCTCAGGGATATTTTAAGATAAGTGATGACAAAAGTAAAGCCGACTGCAAGGCACCAGGTTGCATTTTACACAGGCATCAACACTCAATATATGCAACAAAACCAACAGTAATGGAGAGAACAATCACACACCTGTTGAAGAAATGAAACAACAAAAAGCTTGCAGAAATGTGACATCTTCACTTTCCTCACAGTCAAAGTGCCTAGTTCTGTTCATTCTGCTAAAAACACCACGGTGCTCATTGTACTGATTGGAGTGAAGTTGCAAGTTCCTAAAAAGGTCAGAATTCACTAGTACAGTATGCTGTGTAGTATACTACAGAAATCCAGTCAGTTACATGTTATTCAGTCCAAATGGTGGCATGAGTTTATCTCTTTCTATGCTCATATGTATACAAGAAACTAGAATGAGAATTCAGTTTAAGGCAGCAGAATTGGTACTGTCCTTTGCAAGAATGTGATTACTGCAATGCCTCATACATATGCTAAGTTTCTGTCTGTCTGAATTTTGTATCTCCATGCAGACAGCCATGTGCCAGCCAGAGTAGTTTAAAAGACATCAACTGGGACAGCTCACTGTGGCAACCACTGATCCAAGACCGCTGCTTTCTGTCCTGGCTGGTGAAGATCCCATCAGAGCAGGAACAACTTAGAGCCCGTCAGATCACCGCCCAGCAGATCAACAAGCTGGAGGAGCTCTGGAAGGTATGCACCTGGCATGCTGGGAAGCTTCTCCAGGGTTACAGTAGTTGTTCTGAGTAGTGCTTTATGACCAGAGGGTTGCAAACATAAAGCGACTGCCACAGGCTAAAGGGCTGTAAGTGATAGCTGCTTTCAAGGATTGTTATCTACCTACTAGTTTTAAAATGCTTCAGCCTGTGAGAAGTGGAATCTCAGTGGAACAAGAGTGTGTGATGTGATGTACATATGTTTAGAAATGTTGTGACTGTTTACTTTTAGGACAATCCCACTGCCACATTGGAAGACCTGGAGAAACCCGGTGTGGATGAGGAACCCCAGCATGTGCTGCTGCGCTATGAGGATGCCTACCAGTACCAAAATATCTTTGGCCCTTTGGTCAAACTGGAGGCTGACTACGACAAGAAGCTTAAGGAGTCCCAGGTAATTGAGCAAAATTTCAAAGCTGGAGACTCTGGCATTTTTCAGCCTTGAATGTTCACGGTCATCTACTTTACATGTGGATCGAGTTTTAGGTGACATAGGAGCTCTCTTCAAACATCCATTAATCCTGTTCATAATGTTACATTTACATTAAAGATTATTATATTCTTGTGCTTGATCACACTGGATGGTTAAAGAGGATGCACGTGATGATGTGTTTTTCCCACTACAGGTGTGATCTAGACCACACTGAATTTTTGTTTGGTTTTTATTGCACCTCTACAGTGTAAGGGATAATGTTACAGGGATGTGATATTATACCTTTTGCCAGTTAATCTTTGTTGATATATATTTTTTTTATTTCCTTTTACAGACCCAAGACAATATAACAGTCAGGTGGGACCTGGGGCTGAATAAAAAGCGGATTGCCTATTTCACACTGCCCAAGACGGATTCAGGTGGTAATTCTGACTTTTACTTCCTCCAAGTGGTTTTGTGGTGCATGTGAAGCCCCCACCCATCCCCCTTCGGTCCTGAGAATTGCACGCAACCTCCCCCAACCCTGCAACTTTTGGTGCCACGTGCGCTTGGTTTTGCTCTTGCCTCTGTTTGTAGTGGGGTTGTATAGGTGCATGGTTGTGTATCATTTAGTTCATCATGAACATTGCCCATCCTCCTTTGTTTATTTCTTAGTTATTTTGAGTGTAGAAGGGTTTCTAACTTGTGTCCTTTTGTCAATCCCAGATATGAGGCTGATGCAAGGTGACGAGATCTGTCTTCGGTATAAGGGAGACCTGGCTCCGTTGTGGAAAGGCATTGGCCATGTCATCAAAGTTCCTGATAGTATCCTTTGCACTGGTAACAACTGGCCATTCACTGCTTTACAGTGTCTTCAAATGTGACTCATTACACTGGCACTAATCCCAGAGAGTGTACAATCAAACTATAAACTGCTATGTGTCTCCACTTCCTGTATCCATCATTTCAAATTAAAAACCCTATGCATGATATTTCATAAAAATTCTGAAGCAGTGACTGCAATAATTTCAGTGGTGGGCTGCCACTGCAAAATGTATATAAGGGAAACACTATAATGATAATGTTGGACTTCTTTAACCTGTATTTTAAGACTATGGGGATGAAATTGCCATTGAGCTGCGTAGCAGTGTTGGAGCACCTGTGGAAATCCCCCACAACTTCCAGGTGGACTTTGTGTGGAAGTCCACTTCTTTTGACAGGTAGGTTGAAATTTTAAACCCTTAAATTCTAAACGTGATGTGAACATGTCATTTTACTGCTCTTTAAGTCACCAACCTCTCCACACTACAGGAGGAATATGACCTTTTCATTTTTTTCCTTTGGCAAACCGTTCATAGGAGATAATTTTTGTGTAAATGCACGTATGGCATTTGCAAAGCAAAGATGTCAATGCAAATTCTCTATTTTTGGCAAAGACAATTTCCTGGTGATGCAAAAGTGTGATAATGACTGACATTTGTGTATGTGTTCCTGCAGGATGCAGAGCGCCCTGAAGACGTTTGCTGTGGATGAGACCTCAGTGTCTGGCTACATTTACCACAAACTGCTGGGGCACGAGGTGGATGATGCCACCATAAAGTGCCAGTTGCCAAAGCGTTTCACTGCCCAGGGCCTGCCTGACCTAAATCATTCACAGGTTGGACCTCACTGAGCACTCAGTCTCAGTGACTGCTGTCACTCTGCCACAGATTTTCTTCCTGTCTCTTCAGGACATTACTATCAGATAAAATACAAGTTGTCTCATTTACTGTGATTCATCATATACATCATTGTATTGGTAACAGTGGAAGCTTGTGACTTTGGTTAAGGAGGGCAAACCTTTATTTAAGCAGGCAAAACATTATCTGTTTTGGCTTTAATGTGTGATTTAGATTTCACATCAGTTAATTAAGGTGCTTAAAGGAAGGTTTAGCATCTGTATTTGCAACAATTCACTTAGACATCTTTCTTGTATTTTCAGGTGTATGCTGTGAAGACGGTGCTACAGAGACCTCTCAGTCTGATTCAGGGTCCCCCAGGCACTGGGAAGACCGTCACCTCTGCCACCATTGTTTACCACCTGTCCCGACAGGGCAACGGGTAAGACACCAACCTATAATGTTACATTGTTTGCTACTCCGGCAATTGTGTTTTGCCAATTGGTCCAAATTCTTTCTATGATGGATATTTGTACGTCCTACAGACCAGTTCTGGTGTGCGCTCCCAGTAACATTGCTGTGGACCAGTTGACTGAGAAGATTGACAAAACTGGGCTGAAGGTTGTCAGGCTGTGTGCCAAGAGCCGGGAGGCCATCGAGTCACCAGTGTCTTTTCTGGCTCTGCACAACCAGATCAGCAACATGGACAGGTCAGTGGCATGTGGGGAAACAAACTCTCCTACCAACACTTGACCAAAGGTGCATAAGCCAGTTGTGTAACTAGGAGGTCAAATATGAATAGAGCAGAGGCAATTGAATGGCTTATTTTATTACTTATGTTCTGCCCTCGCTTGGGAGCGTTCTGAAGAATTCTTTGCTAGGCAGACAGATAACCCATCCACACACGTATTGCACTAAATGGTTTTTTTATTCCTTCTCATTCGGTGCACAGTGTGCCAGGAATTGATATGTATGAGTGGTAAAACTACAAAATAAGAAAACAAAATATAATTAGCTCTACAGCAATTAACTTCCCTGTTACTACAATCAAACATAAAGCACATTGTCAAGCAGTATAAACGTATGTACTTACAGACGATGCTCTTTCAACGATATACAACTGAAGATAGCGTGAGTTTCTCACTCTCTAGCGACATGAATTCTCTTAACATGGCAAACAGTTTTTCTTGCTCTAAGAACATAAACACTAGGATAAACTTGGAAACAAAGAAGCCGTCTAGTGGCTGGGTGGTGACATTACACTCTCACCCTCAGTGGCCAGAACAACTTATGTCGCTTTGATCTAAAAATTCACCAGGTTCCCATACTCATTCTTAAAATGTGGCACCAGTTTTTATGATTCCTGGCACTAAGGGCAGGCACACATTTATAAACAGAATCTAAAGTCAGGTTCAGGTGAGCCCTAAGCATGTCCTTTGGCTTTGCAGTTTAATATTCTATCTATTTGTAAATTTGTATGTACTTTAATGCTCACCTAGAGGAGAGGTGCTCAAACAGAATAAAATCTAATTAGAGTTTAGACCTTCAGGCATGACAGGTATCGAATGTCTGTACCAGCAATTGCAACTGAACCTCCTGAAACACTGACTCATTCAAATTTAATTTGGAGGTTGTGAATATTGAGCCCTGGTTTGCATGAACCTGAAATGTTGCTGAAGCAAGTAAATTGCTCTAAACTTTAGGCTGCTGCCACCATAGGATTGATGTATTTTAAACAGAATCATTAGATTCATTTTTGTGTAGAACTCCCAATGTGAATTTAGTCAGGGTTGTCTGTAGTCAGCCTGGTGTGCTGTTGTCTCCCTAGTATGCCAGAGCTTCAGAAACTACAGCAGCTGAAGGATGAGACTGGTGAACTGTCATCTGCTGATGAGAAGCGCTACAGGGCTCTGAAACGCACAGCTGAGAGGGAGCTGCTTATGGTAAGGAGGATCTCAAAGACTAAGTTGGCTCAGGTTTGAAACTGAAGTGTTTACACTATTAATGGTTTCCTATTGCTGCAGCTGGGAGCAGTCAGTATACAAAGGCTATAGCTCTTTAGGTTTTGGTAGCTTAACAGTGTTTTAGCCAAAGAGTCCAAACCCTTTCTGACTGTGCTCATTATTCTGTGTAACCAAGAGCTTTGATCACCTCCATACTGAGGATTATGATATCAAGGACGCTTGTGGTAATTTTTGTGTGTACTGCTTTGTTGTGCTTCACTGTTGTATCCTGACTCCTGTTTTTGTTTGAGGATAGAAACTTATCTTTCTCTGTGTTGTCCAGAATGCTGATGTGATCTGCAGCACCTGTGTTGGGGCTGGTGACCCTCGTCTGGCCAAGATGCAGTTTCGGTCCATCCTAATTGATGAGAGCACCCAGGCCACTGAGCCTGAGTGTATGGTGCCTGTGGTGTTAGGAGCCAAGCAGGTACACACAGTGTTTGGCCAAGACAGCGCACGATGTTACACTGTAATGTTTAAACACAGTTGTGTTATTCAAATATGAAAGTATCTTTGACTGATCGCCTCTGTCTGTAATGTGACAGTACAGGTGCAGATATGTGTGCATGTCCTTAGACTTTAGTTCAGTACTGTATGTAGCTTAACTTTGTAGCTTTTAAGAGCAGGAAATGTTTACCACACTACCATGACCCCACATTTGCTCATGTTTTATTTTGTATCATTATTTCACTCTAGCAGTGAGCGAAAAACCTTTCAGCACTGAAGGAATTTAAATGTTTTTTGTTGAAATCAGGGTCTTGCAGCAAAAGCTGGTAATAATGTCATGACAATAAGAAAACAATAAGAAATGGGTGTTGTAGGAACATGTGTAATTGCTACTGTCAGCATTATTCAAAATTTTGATTTCAATTTTTATTGAAATCATACAACTTAACAATATGGATAATGTCTTTTTAGACAGAACACACTGATTTGTTATGAACATTCAGAAATAAAAGCTTTTCCTGTTCTGCAGGTATTGTACATTAACTCACTTTTCACACTTGTGTGACTCATCCTCCTTCCCACAGCTCATTCTGGTGGGTGACCACTGCCAATTAGGTCCTGTGGTGATGTGTAAGAAAGCGGCCAAGGCAGGCTTGTCCCAGTCCCTGTTTGAACGCTTGGTAGTTTTGGGGATCCGGCCAATCCGCCTGCAGGTCCAGTATCGCATGCACCCGGCTCTCAGTGCCTTCCCCTCCAACATCTTCTATGAGGGCTCCCTGCAGAATGGCGTCACTGCAGGTATGTAAAAATTCAGCATGTCATTGTCTTGTTTAATGGAGGGGAAATTAGTTTCCACTGTGGCTACAACGGTAGCAGGTAAAATGATGTATAAATTCTCAAAGAACATCCTTGTTCTCCACTAGCTGACCGCATCAAGAAAGGCTTTGACTTCCAATGGCCACAGCTGGACAAGCCCATGTTCTTCTATGTGACTCAGGGCCAGGAGGAGATTGCCAGTTCTGGAACCTCCTATCTCAACAGGTAACATCACACATTTCTTTGGATTTTTTTTGGTGTAATTTAACTCAGAGATCTGTATTTATTCATTTTATACAAAGTGCATTGAATACAACAGCAGGGAAAGGTCTAACCGAAGCCACACTTGTAAGTGCTCACCCACAGCCTTCACATCAAAACCAGTATGACAAGCTCAGATAGTGCAGGGCATACCTAATTATGAAGGAATCCTTCCCTCTGTCAGTCACAATAAACAAAGTACAGTTTCTTAAAAATAATCAGTATATTTTTATAAATGGACCTTGTTAAGGGAGACTAGACTTCAATCAGACAAGTTTTTTTTTTTTTTTAAGTAGATTTTTCTTCAACCTCAGCAATGCAGTAAAGGTTGCGTCCACATCACTAATTGGTGTTTATCTGTTTGCAGCTTTCACAAGGGTAGTTATTCTTATCCTTAGTTTGCAGGGGTTGCAAAGTTGATGCACCCTAGATGTGTTTAGCCATTAACTTCAGACTTTTTCCCAGAACTGAGCAGTTCTTTATTTAACGGATGCTGATGTGTTAAGGACGGAGGCTTCCAACGTAGAGAAGATCACCACCAGGCTGCTGAAGGCTGGAGCCAAACCCGACCAGATCGGTATCATCACCCCATACGAGGGTCAGCGCTCCTACCTGGTCCAGTACATGCAGTTCAGTGGCTCCCTGCACACCAAACTTTATCAGGTACCACCTGAGAGATGAGGCTTAACTTTAGCTAACATTATTTCTAAGATAATTAAATTATTTGTATATTCAAAATAATGTTAACTGAGCAGAGCGGTTTGGGCTTATGTGTCTTTGGCAAAGGCAACTTTCTAAAGACGTCTCAGACAAGACCTGAAAGTACAATTAAATTCACATTGACATGTTCTCATTAGTTAAGTCCCTTTCTGTGCAGTTTTGGGCAAAAATCTTTTTGTTCTTACAATGCAATCTCCTCTTGTGTTGTATCCAACTGTAGCAAGTGGAAATTGCCAGTGTGGATGCCTTCCAGGGCAGAGAGAAGGACTTCATCATCCTGTCTTGTGTCCGTGCGAATGAGCATCAGGGCATCGGCTTCTTAAATGATCCTCGTCGTCTCAATGTGGCGCTGACCAGAGCCAGGTAAAAAAAAAACCTCAGGACTGTTGAAGAAATTCGGCACAGCACACAGCCAGCTCATTGGTTTATTCTGAGTTGTTTTGAATTCCACGTAGAACCAGATTAGGAATAATGAAATTCACATAGTTCAACTGTTGAATACTTTGACTTGTTGCAGTGTGAACACACATTGAATCCACTCTTTAACAGTGATGACAATTTATATTAAAATGCCCATCTCCCTAATTATATGTATTAGTTCATGAGACTACTGGAATTTCTTTATGCACAAACTTGAGCCAGATTAATTTGAAAGATGTAATTATCAGGAAAAATTCTACACATACTGTTATTTCCATACTGATCAGCAGTCCTCTGTGTGTTGTGTATGAAGGTATGGTGTGATCATTGTGGGGAACCCTAAGGCCCTCTCTAAACAACCCCTGTGGAACAACCTGCTTAACAACTACAAGGAGCAGAAGGTCCTGGTGGAAGGGCCCCTTAACAACCTGAGGGAGAGCCTCATGCAGTTCAGCAAGCCCCGCAAGCTGGTCAACACCATCAACCCTGTGAGTGGAACAAAGTGCTTTGGAGATGCATACAACATAATGGCAGTTTTTTAAAGTCCTCTGATACTAAATTGAAACTCTTTGGGGTTTAGGGATATTGGATAAATGAGACTGTTGGTTAAATCCCAAAATCCAAATCTTTCTAATGACTGGTGTTTATTTTAGGGGGGACGTTTCATGAGCACAGTGATGTACGATGCTCGTGAGGCCCTCATCCCTGGCTCTGCCTATGACCGCAGCAATGCAGGTATTTATTTTTGTTTATTTATGATGTAATGGCATGACCTTTTCTTATCAACAGGCAGCATTTACTGTCCAGCAACATTAAGCTTGCTTGGTGGTGTTTTAATTAAAAACTGGCACGAACCTTGTCCTGCATGTTCTCTTTCAGCAGGAACATGTACTTTCAAACTCATGACCAGATCGGGATGATTGGGGCAGGTCCTGCTCACATGGCTGCTATGAATATCCCCATACCATTCAACCTGGTGATGCCACCAATGCCTCCACCCAGCTACCTGGCTCAGACCAATGGGCCAGCCGCAGGTACAGTACAGCGCTGAGATAGTTACATAAAGTGAAAGTTAGCGAACTTGAATCCAGTTTGTCAGTTTTGGTCCAGAGGGAGTATGTAATCCAATTACATTACAGGAAAATACCCCATAATGTAAGGTGTGTCAAGGTATGGAGTTTTGACAGCTGATAACCAGCAGTGTCCCGAGCTTGGATTAGTTCTTCAGTATGTTACTTCTTTGTTCTATGACTTGTTTCCCTTTTTGGCATCATTGTCATGGCAGTGTTGACAGCCAGTGAGTGTGTGACGTTTAAGGTCATCAAGTGACAGAGCTCAAGGGTCGGCAAACAGGCAACCGAGTTAGCTAACAAGAGCTCACATTCTGTCTTTCGGCATGAGAAAGTGAGACTTCAGCATCTTCTTTTAGTGTACATTATGTCACCAATGTGGTGACTATCCAAATGTGCAAAGAAAAGAAAAGTTGACCAAGAAAACTGAGCGGTCAGAGAAATATGCATTCATTTTGCCCCAGTCCAGCATAAGGCCTTTGTATTTGATTTGCACAGAGACTGAGAATACAGAGGTGAGGACAGCAAAACTTCGACAGTTAAAATCTTTCTGAATCATCAAACAAGTTGTTTGTGAGATCTGTAACATGGCAAGAGAGAACCACTACTGAAGCTTCAGAAAGTCAAACCGTGGCGTTCTTTCCCCACTAGGCTTGAATGTATTTTGTCTCAGACTGCCTTAAACGTGAATGTACACTCACTGGCCACTTTTATTAGGCACACCTGTACAATTGTTTTGAGCTTCATAAACACAGATGTTATGGTAGACGTATTGCATTGACTTGCATATGGCTGCACAGGTGTACCTAATAAAGTGGCTGGTGAGTGTAAGTCGCTTGTAAGTTATAAGTAAGTTCAATAAAAGTCATTTGTTTATCACTAATTGTTCTGGACCTTTGATGTTGAATAGAAATCAGATTTGGACCTTTTGAATATTAAGTTTGAGAACCCCTGTCCTGTGAATTATGGATAAAAAGAGCTGATATTTCACCGGTCAAGTTACTGGAACCTTGTTATGATGTTGGGAGTGATGGTTGATCATGTTTGTTTCCACTGTGGTTCTGATCTTTTTTTGTTTGTTTGTTTTCTTTTCTTTAAGGTCGTGGAGCCATGAAGGGTAAGCCTGGCCGTGGCGGGCGCCAGAGGGTACGTGGCTCAGGAAACCAAGGTGCCAGTCAGGGTAATGGACCAAACAGTCAGGTTAGCCAGGATGGGGCCTCCCAGTCCTTCTCCCAGGGGCCATTGACGCAGGGCTACATCTCAATGAGCCAACCCTCTCAGATGAGCCAGCCTGGCCTCTCCCAGCCAGAGCTTTCCCAGGTAAGGCATCACTATTACTAGAGGTGTGACAAGATCTTATAGCACAAGATCAATAAGAGGATGCCAGGTGTACCTGCAGTATGCATACTGTAAAAAACTTTGTTGCATATTTCCTGTATTTTTTTAATGAGCTCATTGACTCTAACTGATCCCTACTATAGGTGCTGCTGGCATTCTGGTATGAACTATATGGTACTGTTTGTGAGGTGCTTCATATACTTTACACTGTGAGAAAAGATGTTAGTTTTCAGATTTAAAAGGTTGACTAGGATAATAAAGATAGAACAGTAAAAGATAATGTGTTTGGGTGTAATGTACTTTGTCCTTTTTGTTCTCCAGGACAGCTACCTGGGTGACGAGTTCAAGTCCCAAATCGATGTGGCTTTGTCCCAGGACTCAACCTACCAGGGTGAACGTGCATACCAGCATGGCGGAGTGACCGGACTGTCACAGTACTAAAGTGTAAGCACATAAATGCCAAGGCCTGAAGCTTCCAGGAGTAGCTTTAAAGAGTTTGGCAGAGTGACATTCAGTTTGACACGGACACTGGTGATAATCATCAGTTAGACGGGCAGGCTTCTCCCAGCTGTTTGACAGAAACTAAAAACAACTGGTTTTCTGTTTTGCAGGATGCTTGAAGAACGGAGCTAGGCTTGATCTGAGCTTAGTTCATCAGCTTTTTAACTGGGAAATAATAAAAAGACAAAATGGATACCTGTTTTCCTCTGCTACAACCGAAGCACCACCGAGTGAAAGCGACGGGATAGCGAAACCAAATCGATGACCAGCGCGAGAAATAAGTGAGAAGACGAAGAAGAAGGCTCAAACAGACAGGCAGGGACATGGCAAGAGAGGCCGTGTGACCAAGCGAGAGGCAGGGACCAGTGCCCATGCAAAGTGAAGGAGAAGAGTCAAGAAGAGTGCAGTGTGTGTGGTCCAGCTGCAGAGGGAAGCAGCAGAGATCTCAGTGGCATCTCAGGGGTATCCAAATAAGCCAACTGATCCCCTTCACCCCACAGCCTCCAGGAAAGAAAGGAAAGCTCTTAATGCTTCTATAGATGTCTTCAGATGAGGACCCAAGCTTCCCAGCTCAGTTTGAAGAACTCGTTCTCCAAACCTGGATGGTCACAGAAAGCCTTCGAAGAGGCAACACAAAATCCCTATGCTAAAAGTTGGTTAGTTACGTAATCTGTATGATATCCCAGACTACTTAAAATTAGGTTTATCACGGGAGGAGAGTAGCAACAAAAGACATCTGCTGTACCTCGGCAGGAAGCAGCAACACAACCACTCGGAGAGGAAACAAAAACATGGTTTCTGTGCTGAAGTCTAATATTAAAGAGCCTTGAATTGAAATACCTTTTTATTTGCCTCGAGAACCACTGAATAGTTCACTAGGGGTTTAATGGGGTGGTTTTGACCGCACGTCAGTGGTGGAGGGGCACAGGGATTTCAGACTTTTCTCAAGGCACGAATCCCACTGATACCACAAACATCATGGGAGTTTTTTTTCTCAGAAGTACCTTTCTTATAATGGAGCACAAAATTGCAAAAAAGTCATTGAAACAATCAAACACAACCAGCACTGAATATTGAACTCGGTGTCATTTGATGTTTCAGCGAAGGCTTTTCTTTATTTTAATCTTCTGAAAACTGGGGTCATGATGTCCTGCTGTGCTTTATGGCCTGACTGCTTTTTTTTTTTTTTTAAACACTCTGTGCACACTTCAGTTTGGCAAATGCTTGAATGCTTTGCATTGAGTGACTCCTCAGGGGACTGTGGACTGTCTACACTCATGACACAAATCCCTGCTCAAGGTGAAACTAATCAATCCACCACAGGTAACTAGTAGAAAAGGAAGGTGGCAGAGGAAGAGAGGGGTTAGAGGGTTTCCCCATCTGGAAAACAAGTTCAGGTCATGGACAGGGTTGAAATGTTAGAGGGAAACATGGCTTGACTACCTTCAGTACCACAAATTTGATCAAGTGTCATTTCACACAGCAGTTTGATTTTGTTAATGTTCGCCTGCTGGTGGCCGATTTACCAAGCCCCACAGTGTTAAACGTATGTCAGCAGTGACCCAAATGTTCTGATTTACAGATAATCAGGTTTTAAAAAGAAAATCTGTCAGAACCTTCAAATACACCTTGTTTTAAAATTCATCTTAATCTGAAAGGATTCTTTGTATAGTTTAAAATGAACCTACTCCAGTCACAGACAGTTAAAGGACCATCAGTATGGATAAGATGATGGCAAGGTGATAAATGAAACAGAAGTGAGAACCCTGAATCAGTGCCTATAACCAATCATCTTCACAAACAGCTGCAGCACAAGTATGAATGTAGAAAATCAAACTACCAGCATTTAAACCCTCCGGACACCACAGGGCTCAAGGAACCCAGAGGAAAGGACTTTTTTTTTTTATTTAATATCAGGCCAGGTAATGATGAGGTCAAGAAGTTCAGCTGCTGGGTTGTGTAAAGGATGGGCTGCTGGGGGGGCGAAGCCACCTTCCTTCTCTGTGCAGTAGACACAGACTGGTAGAATTTCTTTTTCCTTCTGTGGACTTTGATTTGTGCAAAACTGTTTTGCCTGCACTATGTAGAGTTCCTGATTTCCCTTCCTGGACAGCTGTATGAACCAGAACCTCAAGCTGATCCAGACTATGCTTTTGTCAGGTGATTTTCTGCTTTATGCGTTGTGTTATTCTGTTAAATTGGGTGTTATTTAGCCATTTTGTGTGATTTTACTAAAGAATTTTGTAGCAGTTTGCTGACAAATGGAATGAAATGTTGTTCATTAGAGTTTTGTATCTCTTCAAACTGTCCGCGGGATTGTAGTTTTGTAACTCTTCCAGAAAAAACTTTCTCAACACAGAATGTATTCCAGTGTTGTTTCTCACCTGCTTCTCATCCCAGCAGGTATGACAATCATGTTGCGAATAGACATGTCTAACTTGAAAGTAGCTGGGGTTTTTTTTGACAACTTTTCATTTGTGCGATTCATTTCACATATCGATCCGTACCGCTGAACTCCTAACATGTTGTAGCTTTAAAAACCCGCTGTCGGAATTTTATTGCTTTGGTGTTTTTCCCCATCTCCTGAGCCACAGTGAACTGCAACATGCGCAGTAATCACTGAGGTGATTCAGTTGTAGATTAACCATTTGCATCCAATCATGCAGAGATCAAATTGGACTGGAGATCTCAATGTGATGTAAATACCTATTTGAAACAATCTTATTTGTAGTGACGTTTCATTACATCATCTTATTAAACTGAATCAATAAAGTCCAATTGAGTAGGTTTTGTTTGAAGTTTATTTCCAGATGCTGACAAATATAAAACATATTGCACCAAAACATGTATGTATACAAGTAGAGGTTTTCACACCTTTGCCTGTTTCGTTTTGTTCTGCTTTCTCTTCATCAGTTTTTTTTTCAGCTGTCCATGTTTCTGTCTCTGGATGCTCTCCTGGATTCTTTGTTTGAATTTCTTCTTCTGGCTTCTGATCTTCTCAAGCTCAGCTTTCCTCTTGGCCTCCAGGTCTGGATCCTGGAACAGAGGTTTGATCAGAAATTGGTTTGACTGTTAGCATAGTTGGTCTCAAACGGGAACCCTGCAAAAATGTTTGGATTTACTTCCATACATATGTATATTCCAGCAACCCTGAGCACATTGGCACCACCAGAACAAAAGTTGGATCAAGTCATGTTAAAGGGGCCGAGTTCATAAGCATATGTTTATTTCCAAATACTCAATTTAAACCCTAGTAAATATGTATTCATTATTAATGTAGCTTTAGAATCTTTTCACAAGGTTGCCCAGAGACAAATTTCATATGATGTACTGTGCACTGGTGAGACTTTCTAGGTAGCCCCGCAGTTAACACCAAGTTATATTCTTGAAATTAACCTTAGTATGAATATACAGTTATTTAATGCACAGAAACACAGGACCTGTAGAGAAGAACCTGATATTTTGTTGCTTCATCTTGAGCATTTACACGTTAAATTTGACTTAAGATGTGCCAAAACCAGACGTAAATGAACAGCAGACAAGTGTACTTGCCTTCCCCTCCAGAATCAGTTGTTTCCTCTTATTGATCTCCTTCTTCTCATCAAGGTCTGTTGACTCAAGTTTCTACATGACAGATGACCAAAAAACACTTCATCATTTACACAGTCTGATCACAATTTGAAAAATGTAAATACTAGAAAATTGAGTTACTGTTGGTGATAATGAGGAATGTTCAAAATTTAGGGCTGATCCATCAGTACTCTCCCCTACACCAACATTTTTAACAAATTCTCACTGTACTAAACCAGTAAGTGGTAAAATAAAGACTGAATATTAAGAAAAGAAAAATCCATACTATTTCCCACTCCCGTCTGGTCACGTTGACCTGCGTGAGGATCTTCAGCACTTCTTTCTCCTCCACGGGATATTCCTTTAGCTTCGTCTCTGTACAAACACATTAGACCAGTTTGTGGTCAGCTGGAGATGTTTTAGGACTTCCTGCTTTTTCAGTTTCCTCATACGTTGCCATGGTCATGTATGCTCTCCTAGCCATAGCCATTAACAACAAACAGTCTATCCATCAGGTCATTTCTAGGCTGTGCGGCTGCCATTCTAATCTGATTGCCGCTATCTTCATTTAAAATAAACCAGATGTTCCACCAAAATTCACAGCTGACAGCCCTCATGTTGGATCAGAGTCTATTAAACCAAAAAAAACATGAAGGAAATGGAATTATTCCTGCAAACCCTGCAGCCTTTAGAACCAAAAGACTTACTAATCTGTTCTTCAATGGAGTGGACTAGGTGGATGTCGTACTGCGTCACCAGTGTGATGGACACGCCGTTCCTTCCTATGAAAGAAGGTGTCACATATGAGCTGCTGCAGGAAAACAGGAACATTTACTAAAAACCTGTTCCAAGTTGACAGTACCTGCTCTTGCTGTTCGTCCGACTCTGTGGATGTAGATCTTGGGAAGGCCGGGGGTGTTGTGGTTGATGACGACCTGGACAGTTGGAATATCCAAACCCCTGTGAGTCAGAAAAGACCATGTTAGAGTAACGTGATCACAGCCTGTAATCTACAGATGCCTGTATGAACACTCAATCTAAAACACTGTGGCTACTTTGGGAAGAACAGATTTTTAAATATGCAAAAAATGGGGACGCTCTGTGGAGCCCTCTTACCTGGCAGCTACGTCTGTTGCAATCAGGATTTTGTAGACACTGGCCTTGAACTTGGCAAGGTTTGCAAATCGTTGTTTCTGGAGGAGACAGAGTTTATTCTGTGGGTCTGTTCATCTGGTTTAATCCACTTTAATCCCTCACAAGTGACAGTTTCTCTATTATCACATAGCCTCTTCCGTTTCTGCCTTTGTCCCTTTAATGGGATAAATATGATTTCCACATTCAACACATGCTTGTTGAGGAAGGCTCACCTTTCTCTTCACACAGCAAAGTCAGATTCTTTCTATGACAAAACCTAAATTTGCATTTAAACAGATTAAGATATTTTTCTACTGTTATTCCTTCAACACGGTGGATTCTTCCTCATAACCCAAAGAAACATCCCTCAGAAATTTACTTACTGATGTTTTTCCTCAGTGATCAGTGCCTGCCACAGTTTCGAGCTGTGATAAGTTTGTAAACTGCGCTACTCTCACCTGTTTCATCATGGAGTGCAGAGAGATCGTTGGAAAGTTAAATTCCCGCAGCATCATGGTAAGAATTTGGCAGTTCCTGTGAGGAAAGAAAAAAAAGGATCAAAGATTAAAAATTCAAAAACTTTTTTTTTTTTTTTTTCCTTTTTGGCCAAGTTTCTATTCACCTATTAAACAATTTCTTTCTAATTGAAACTGATCACATTAGTTTTATGCATGCAACTTGATGTTTGCATTCATTTCTCTGTGTTGTTGTGGAGTACTGGGCATGATTCTCCTCTGTGGAGGGAACCACTGTGCAGCAGTGATGTTTGTCTGGGAGTAAATAAGGAGGCACTCGGTTTCTCATTTTTACAAAGAATAAACTGTGATTCTTAATAATATATGGTTTATTATTTCACAGGATTAGAGGCTTAATTTGCTTTTTACACATTTGAAATGTGCCACCTCTCTCTGATTCTGTCACCCTGACCAATATTTTCTAGAGCCGCCCCCCGTCTAGACTGTAAAGATGCACAACATATATGACCTCTGAATCACTTCAGGACTTCTTACTTGCATGTGTTAGTGAAGATGATGATGGACCAGTCATCGTGCTCATCAGTGAATGTCTGGATCAGGTGGACCAGGTAGGCGTCCTTCACCTTCTCAGGGGTGAGGATATACCTCTGGTCTAGCTCCTCCACTGTTCGTGTTCTGTTAACAATATGACAATTCATTCTTCTATGTACATGAATTGTTTTCTCAGAGGTTCAAGCACTGTGGTCACAGTACAGAATCCTGAAGCTGCTGTACATTCAGGCCCAGACTGAGCAAAGGTATGAGGATAATTAAATGCTTTCTCACTCATAGTAAGGACCAAATCGGGATGACTTGTATATTCCAGTGTGCACATAAAGTGGAAATCTGCACAGCAGTTTAAAAAAAAAAAAAAAAAAAAAAAAACATCTTTATGCTGTGGCCATATTCAGCCACATACAAACTGCTCAGTTCACCAGCTTGACTTCACAACATAAACCAAGATGATCTCAGCTACATAAGCTCATTATACAGAAGTAAAACCAAATAACGAATGAATAAATGTGCGTGCCCCCATCACAGTGCAGCTCAGTCAGGTTGAAGGTTCAACATTAACTACAAAGGCAAAAAACCCTGTTCTACCTTTTGTTTTACAAAACTATACTGTTAACATTTATCATTTAGTTTAGAAGATGTCTCTTGTTTCTGAAAGACTCTAGTGCTATCCTGTTGTATGGTAGATTTACTCTCACTCTGCTGAAACTGATATTCCTTTAGCATACAGGCCAATAACATAGGCCGATATTAGTCTCCTCTGCACACACAGTTTGACAGCTGCAATCCCCAGTTAAGCCATCAGTTTGAAATTTACACCAGGATGGTCTCTCAGCCTTCTCCCTACCACAGGTAACTCACTCCGACGTGCTCTCCCAGAAGAAAGGTTTGTTCATGGCGATGTTCTTCAGCTCCTGAAGCGTGTCAGTGAGTGTGGCGCTGAACAGCAGTGTCTGTCGTTTAGGCGGTAGAATCCCCAGAATCACCTCCAGGTCTTTGGTGAAGTCAGTACAGCCCTGCTCCAGGAGTCGGTCAGCCTCATCCAAAATCTGACGGACACAAAAACATTATCACAAACTGTGAAAAAAATTCTCAAATGTAAAATTCATAACTTTAACACATGAACGGTAACAATTACAATCCCTGGACAAGTTTCTTCTAATATAAATATTTAATTTCTATCATTCCCCATTTATTTTAAATCCTATTTTAAATTTTATTGTTAAAAAGACACTTTCAAATACTAATTCCACAGCCATATAAACCCAGGATATAGAACCGAAAGTTGAAATCACCAGGAACTGGATCTTGCTCATGCTGAAGGTGTTGGAGCTGCGAATGTGATCAGCCAGTCGACCCGGTGTGGCAACGACCACGTGTGGCTGGTTGGTCAGCTCCAAGGCCTGGCTCACCATGTCTGTCAGTAACACAGCAGAGACGAGGTCAGTACACATGAGAGGCAACACACAAAATAAACATTACTAATAGTTTAAATGGCAGCTACTAGCTTCTGCTGTAGTCGTACCACTTACACTGGATCATGTTCATCTGAAGACTTTAAAATCAGGTTCTACAGTTTTAAACTATGCAACGTCTGCTGCTGTTCCTTGATAGGTTTAAAGCTACTGTAGGTCATTTCCTTTTAGACTAGAGGGCCTAGTGAAACTCAAAACATACTGACACCATAAGCCACTCCTGCTCCCATCACACCGTTACAAATGCCAGGTTGTGACAAACTGCACAAAATGCAGCCTGCAGCCCGAAGGCAGCATTAGTTACTAACGAGTAAATGGGTCAGTCTAGTAGAACCCCCTGGTTACAGTTAATGTGGCACAAACACTACACAAAGCTTGAGTTACTCCCTAATTAGAAATCACATGAATTCACTTAAAAAAAAAAAAAAAAAATCATGACCATGCCAGGTCACTAATGTTACCAGAGCAAACACACTAGCTTTAGATGCTAAAGTATCGAGAAGGAAGAACACCACATCTGAGCTTTCACTCTCTCCATCTCAAAAAAAACACCATAAGCCACTCCTGCTCCCATCACACCGTTACAAATGCCAGGTTGTGACAAACTGCACAAAATGCAGCCTGCAGCCCGAAGGCAGCATTAGTTACTAACGAGTAAATGGGTCAGTCTAGTAGAACCCCCTGGTTACAGTTAATGTGGCACAAACACTACACAAAGCTTGAGTTACTCCCAAATTAAAAATCACATGAATTCATGGACGGGGGTAGTATATCTGAGATATGCCATGTCCTGTCCCATCTTCATTTGATTTAGCAGACAATGTGTGAAATCTTAGTTAATGCACCTTTAAGTATAAAACAAACGTCAACATCACAAACCCTGACAATAGAAGTGCCAAAGTCAAATGGCAAAGAGAGGCATACAGTGAACACTGGCACATTCTCTCTGCACATACTACATGTATATTGTTGTGGTTGCACTGTTGCTGCTGAATGAACTGAAAAGAAAGCTGCCTGCAGTGATTTATGTACTTACCCATTCCACCAACAATGATGCAGTCCTGCAGACCCAGAGGTTTCCCCAGGACTCGAAACTGCTCAGCGATCTGATAGGCCAGCTCCCTGTATGACATCACATTCAGAGCCCAAACACTGCCAGCTGACACTGCAGAAGGTTTCAAACTGTTTTGCCGCAAGCTTGTTCATCTTAACTGAGTTTTCCTAGTTAACTTCATCAATAACAAATGGATTAGATGTGAAAATGCTTTGTGTCGAAGCCTTCTTAAAAGATAAAGAACAATTACATCAGGTTCACAAAATATATTTAAATTCCGAAATATCCATAACCTTTATTTAATCAGGTAGTGTCACTGAGATCTGGATCAATATCTGGATGTGAAATGACTGTATGAACATTTAAAGAACCATCCATAAAACGACCAAAGAAAGAAGTGCAGTTTACAAGAAACATTAGCTGCTTTTAAAGTACATTTATATAAAGTATTTTCATTTGTGTTTTCTGCACATGAAAGTTAAGTGCATCTGTGTCTTACTGCAGTCTGTACTGACCTGGTAGGAGTGAGCACCAGACAGAAGATGCCATATGGGTCCTCTGACAGTTTCTGCACCACTGGCAGCACAAACGCTGCTGTCTTCCCACTTCCAGTCTTGGCACAGCCCATACAGTCCCGACCTGTGTGAAAACATACACAACACCTTCATTCACCTGCTCTGATCCATGGCGTACTTGGTATATCCCCTGTCAATTCAAAGGATTTCACCTGTCATGACATTCTCAATTTCCCCAACAAATGACCCCCAAGAGCTGGCCGACACATTTAATACAGTATATGTGTGGAAAACAACAGGAATTTCTAACTTTGGAGTTTTTAGTTTCTTCAGGTTGTGTAACGTTACCTTTGCTGAAAAGCACTAACCACTGAATTGACTGATGTTTCAATGAAGATCTACATTACATATAGAGACAGGCTATTTACATTACAGGTAAGTAAAAAGCTTGAGAATATGTTTTAGTATTACCTTCTAGGATAGCTGGCATGCAGTTTTCCTGGACAGGAGTTGGTTTGTTGATCCCCAGCTGTTTACACTGTTTAATCAACCAGTCTGAAAGCCCCAGCGACGAAAAGTCACCCATTTCTGATGTACCTCCTTCTCCGCTGCTTGATAGCTATTTTGATGAGCTGTGTATATCAAAACAGTCACTAAAAATACTATACTCTATTACCACGTAGAGTAAATCACCCTCACGTGCTATTTCCGGTCGCTGTATGTACGTTACAGTGCGACGTCGATGTCTTCTTCGGCAGAGAAGGGTAGTCTGGAGGCGGGCACTGCTGCCCTCTGCTGGTCAAATCGTAGAGCTATCAAAATTATGAATTTCAGCCTCAGTTAAAGCATGACATACGGGACCAACAACCGATTTTGGTTGGCGTGCTGTTCATTTTAATCACAAACAAATGTGGTTTTGGAGAATGTTTAAATATTATGTGAAGTAAACCCCGTTTTTTCTTTGGTGACATACCATAGCCTTTATTTAATCAACCTACATGTATTTCCCCAAAGTTTTAACCATATTATAAATTATATATATTAATAAACGCACATGTCATACACTGGGATAGCAGACAATTCCTTGTGCACCCCCAGTGATCTTCGATTGCTTACAAGATATTTGAGGGGCTCCAGTTTAATTTTTTTAAGGTTTAGCAATAAACACATTTTTATTAAAATGTATGTGAATAGGATTGGTTGGAAAAGCTCATATGTTGCTTTTGAAATGTAAATTGGCACAAGATATTAACCACAATTGCCTTTTGTTTTTTACCTATATTTTATTTTATCACAGATTGTTGTTCATGTTTTACATTAAGTGGATGTTTCTTTTAGCACAAGACCCTTACATCCCCAGTGTAAGAAGGAGCGTTACCGCAGGTCATTCCTCCCCACAGCCATCAGACTGTACAATACATCACTGCATCACTGTTCCTGATCTCTCTCAAATACTGTACATTGCCCTGCTTTAGGTATTTTTAAGTATTTGCTCAGAGATCCTTATGGCTGAAACACAGGTTTCTCTCCCCCATTGTGGGATTAATTGTGAGAGTAATATTCGATTGTTCTTGATTTCCCAGTTGTTTAGTCTCTACTGCTGTTCCTGATTCTCTCCAGTGCTGCTCTGCCCTGTTTTTAGGTGCCTTTGATTTGCTTATATTGTGCTGTGTAAAATGTAATGTTTTGATGACCCTACCTTTATAATCCTTGTGTATGGGTTCTAATGCTTTGTTGCCTTTATGTAACTGTCTATTTTAAGACTAAGTGTTTTTTGTTACTACTTACTTACGTACGCATGCGCCGCATGGAGTGGTAGCAAGTTACAGCAGCTGTGTCCTCGTTGTGTTCTTTTCTGTGTTTTTATGTAGTTTTGTTCTTATGGTGTTATGTTGGTTGTTCTCTATTGCTGCTGTAACACAGAAATTTCCCCACTGTGGGATCAATAAAGTACCTACTCTACAGAACTCTTGCAGTACCAAGTCGGTGCAGATGTATTCTGTCCATTTTACATTGTGTGTATTGAGGCCTTCACTATAAGTCACTGTCTTTTAAATGCCATGAGTTGTTCCTATTGACTTTTAAATGCAGTCACTTGACTTATCAATTTTTTTTAAACACATTATTTTATTAAATTCTACATACATAGAAACATTCTACACTTCGTAGCTCTTTTTTAACTTGTATATATGTAAATGTGTACATTTTTGTCTTCTGTTTTTTTACTTGTGGTTTGTGTTTTATTCTCTTCTTATATTGCTGTGCACATCGGGGGCCCTTTGGGCTTTAGTGAAATTCCTTGTATTTTTGATAATACTTGATAATAAAGTTTATGCTTATACTGCAGTATATGATGCCTACTTTCCTTTAGAGACACGGGTTTAAGAACTGTTCAGTTTAAAAGCTAAATTGGATGGGAATAGTTTTCTGCTGCACATGAAATCTAGATTATCTGTGTGAGGGGTAGGGGGTGCTGTGGTGTAGGCAGCTTGCTGAAATGAGTTCTTCAATGGGATGTTTCACTTAGTGATAATTTGTATATATTCTGATGACAGTTAGTAAATGTTTTATTGTCATTATCTTTGCTCAGACACCTTCATTTCCTCCTTACATATGTAACATATGAGGTAGGTGTGAATATGTGTGGGTGTGCAGAGATTGAGCTGTATTTCTGTGGTTCAAGATCAAGCCCAGCTTTATAGCCATTTCTACACATAGGTATGATGTACATACATACTTTTATTTGACAAACCTTATCCTAGCCCTAACCACTGAGGGGG